GACACTGAGGGTCTGGGTTCGATCCCTGGGTCTGGGTGTCTCTCTCTGTCTGGGGGTTCACAATGGCCGGGTCAGAAACACTGAGAGCCTGGGTTGGAGCCCTGGATCTGGGTGTCTCTCTCTGTCTGGGGGTTCACAATGGCCGTGTCAGAGACACTGAGAGTCTGGGTTCGAGCCCTGGGTCTGGGTGTCTCTCTCTGGGGGTTCACGATGGCCGAGTCAGAGACACTGAGAGTCTGGGTTCGAGCCCTGGGTCTGGGTGTCTCTCTCTGGGGGTTCACGATGGCCGGGTCAGAGACACTGAGAGTCTGGGTTCTAGCCCTGGGTCTGGGTGTCTCTCTCTCAGGGGGTTCACAATGGCCGGGTCAGAGACACTGAGAGTCTGGGTTCGAGCCCTGGGTCTGGGTGTCTCTCTCTCTCAGGTGGTTCACGATGGCCGAGTCAGAGACACTGAGAGTCTGGGTTCGAGCCCTGGGTCTGGGTCTCTCTCTCTCTGTGGGGTTCACAATGGCCGTGTCAGAGACACTGAGAGTCTGGGTTCTAGCCCTGGGTCTGGGTGTCTCTCTCTGGGGGTTCACAATGGCCGGGTCAGAGACACTGAGAGTCTGGGTTCGAGCCCTGGGTCTGGGTGTCTCTCTCTGTCTGGGGGTTCACAATGGCCGGGTCAGAAACACTGAGAGCCTGGGTTCGAGCCCTGGGTCTGGTGGTCTCTCTCTGGGGGTTCACAATGGCCGGGTCAGAGACACTGAGGGTCTGGGTTCGATCCCTGGGTCTGGGTGTCTCTCTCTGTCTGGGGGTTCACAATGGCCGGGTCAGAAACACTGAGAGCCTGGGTTTGAGCCCTGGATCTGGGTGTCTCTCTCTGTCTGGGGGTTCACAATGGCCGTGTCAGAGACACTGAGAGTCTGGGTTCGAGCCCTGGGTCTGGGTGTCTCTCTCTGGGGGTTCACGATGGCCGAGTCAGAGACACTGAGAGTCTGGGTTCGAGCCCTGGGTCTGGGTGTCTCTCTCTGGGGGTTCACGATGGCCGGGTCAGAGACACTGAGAGTCTGGGTTCTAGCCCTGGGTCTGGGTGTCTCTCTCTCAGGGGGTTCACAATGGCCGGGTCAGAGACACTGAGAGTCTGGGTTCGAGCCCTGGGTCTGGGTGTCTCTCTCTCTCAGGTGGTTCACGATGGCCGAGTCAGAGACACTGAGAGTCTGGGTTCGAGCCCTGGGTCTGGGTCTCTCTCTCTCTGTGGGGTTCACAATGGCCGTGTCAGAGACACTGAGAGTCTGGGTTCTAGCCCTGGGTCTGGGTGTCTCTCTCTGGGGGTTCACAATGGCCGGGTCAGAGACACTGAGAGTCTGGGTTCGAGCCCTGGGTCTGGGTGTCTCTCTCTGTCTGGGGGTTCACAATGGCCGGGTCAGAAACACTGAGAGCCTGGGTTCGAGCCCTGGGTCTGGGTGTCTCTCTCTGGGGGTTCACAATGGCCGGGTCAGAGACACTGAGGGTCTGGGTTCGATCCCTGGGTCTGGGTGTCTCTCTCTGTCTGGGGGTTCACAATGGCCGGGTCAGAAACACTGAGAGCCTGGGTTTGAGCCCTGGATCTGGGTGTCTCTCTCTGTCTGGGGGTTCACAATGGCCGTGTCAGAGACACTGAGAGTCTGGGTTCGAGCCCTGGGTCTGGGTGTCTCTCTCTGGGGGTTCACGATGGCCGAGTCAGAGACACTGAGAGTCTGGGTTCGAGCCCTGGGTCTGGGTGTCTCTCTCTGGGGGTTCACGATGGCGGGGTCAGAGACACTGAGAGTCTGGGTTCTAGCCCTGGGTCTGGGTGTCTCTCTCTCAGGGGGTTCACAATGGCCGGGTCAGAGACACTGAGAGTCTGGGTTCAAGCCCTGGGTCTGGGTGTCTCTCTCAGGGGGTTCATAGTGGCCGTGTCAGATACACTGAGAGTCTGGGTTCAAGCCCTGGGTCTGGGTGTCTCTCTCTGTGGGGTTCACAATGGCCGTGTCAGAGACACTGAGAGTCTGGGTTCGAGCCCTGGGTCTGGGTGTCTCTCTCAGGGGGTTCACAATGGCCGGGTCAGAGACACTGAGAGTCTGGGTTCGAGCCCTGGGTCTGGGTGTCTCTCTCTGGGGGTTCACGATGGCCGTGTCAGAGACACTGAGAGTCTGGGTTCGAGCCCTGGGTCTGGGTGTCTCTCTCTCCCTGGGGGTTCACAATGGCCGTGTCAGAGACACTGAGAGTCTGGGTTCGAGCCCTGGGTCTGGGTGTCTCTCTCAGGGGGTTCACAATGGCCGTGTCACAGACACTGAGAGTCTGGGTTCGAGCCCTGGGTCTGGGTGTCTCTCTCTCTCAGGGGGTTCCCAATGGCCGTGTCAGAGTCACTGAGAGTCTGGGTTCGAGCCCTGGGTCTGGGTGTCTCTCTCTCTCTCTCTGGGGGTTCACGATGGCCGAGTCAGAGACACTGAGAGTCTGGGTTCGAGCCCTGGGTCTGGGTGTCTCTCTCTCTCTCTGGGGGTTCACGATGGCCGAGTCAGAGACACTGAGAGTCTGGGTTCAAGCCCTGGGTCTGGGTGTCTCTCTCAGGGGGTTCACAGTGGCCGTGTCAGAGACACTGAGAGTTTGGGTTCTAGCCCTGGGTCTGGGTGTCTCTCTCAGGGGGTTAACAATGGCCGGGTCAGAGACACTGAGAGTCTGGGTTCGAGCCCTGGGTCTGGGTGTCTCTCTCAGGGGGTTCACAATAGCCAGGTCAGAGACACTGAGAGTCTGGGTTCGAGCCCTGGGTCTGGGTGTCTCTCTCAGGGTGTTCACAATGGCCGGGTCAAAGACACTGAGAGTCTGGGTTCGAGCCCTGGGTCTGGGTGTCTCTCTCTCTCTCTCTCTGGGGGTTCACGATGGCCGTGGCAGATACACTGAGAGTCTGGGTTCGAGCCCTGGGTCTGGGTGTCTCTCTCTCTCTGGGGGTTCACGATGGCCGTGTCAGAGACACTGAGAGGCTGGTTTCGAGCCCTGGGTCTGGGTGTCTCTCTCAGGGGGTTCACAATGGCCGTGCCAGAGACACTGAGGGTCTGGGTTCGAGCCCTGGGTCTGGGTGTCTCTCTCTGGGGGTTCACAATGGCCGGGTCAGAGACACTGAGAGTCTGGGTTCGAGCCCTGGGTCTGGGTGTCTCTCTCTGGGGGTTCACGATGGCCGTGTCAGAGACACTGAGAGTCTGGGTTCGAGCCCTGGGTCTGGGTCTCTCTCTCTCTCTCTGGGGGTTCACAATGGCCAGGTCAGAGACACTGAGAGTCTGGGTTCGAGCCCTGGGTCTGGGTGTCTCTCTCTGGGGGTTCACGATGGCCGAGTCAGAGACACTGATAGTCTGGGTTAGAGCACTGGGTCTGGGTGTCTCTCTCTCTCAGACTGTAGGGGCAAGTGCTGTTAGCGAGCACCTATGAAGGCCGGCACGGCACACGAGGGGGTGGGTGGCCAACACCACGCCCGGCCGCCTTTGTCTCCCTGCTGTTATATTTGTGTGTGTCTGTGAGATGTTGGCTACCTCGCCTGGTACACAGGAAGTCGTGGGTTCGATCCCGACCCTGACGCCTGCTGTATTATATATTTGCGTGTGTCTGTGAGATGTTGGCTACCTCGCCTGGTACACAGGAAGTCATGGGTTCGACCCCGACCCTGACGCCTGCTGTATTATATATTTGTGTGTGTCTGTGAGATGTTGGCTACCTCGCCTGGTACACAGGAAGTCGTGGGTTCGACCCCGACCCTGACGCCTGCTGTATTATATATTTGTGTGTGTCTGTGAGATGTTGGCTACCTCGCCTGGTACACAGGAAGTCATGGGTTCGATCCCGACACTGACGCCTGCTGTATTATATATTTGTGTGTGTCTGTGAGATGTTGACTACCTCTCCTTGGTGGTCACTACGTGTCCACGGTGATTTGACTCCCGCTATAAATGTCCACGCCGTTGACCTCGCTATAATTTTGACCCGCGGCTGAAAAACAGCTGAGTCGTGGGGGACCTTAGCCTGGTTAACCCCCCCCTCCCCCACTCCAGCAACATCGTTGGTTAGTTAGTTAGTTCGTGAAGTGTAAAAAAAAGTTATCAATTCAAAGGCCGTGAGGGTGGTGAGCGTGAGTCAACAGTGACCCCGTCACGGGGCTGGCAGTGACCCCGCTAAGCGCCCCTCCTCCCGTGCTGCTGTGGACACGGGGCGAGGCCCGACCCAGCGCGATGTCGGTGGGACCTTGCACCCTGCGACTCACGCAGGGGAGGTGGCGTCTGTGGTGACACGGCTATTGTGAGCCACCACAGCCCCTACCTGCCGGCCCTCGCTGTGTGTCTGTACGTGTGTGTGTGTACGTGTGTGTGTACGTGTGTGTCTGTGTGTGTGTGTGTCTGTGTGTGTACGTGTGTGTGTATGTGTGTGTGTGTACGTGTGTGTGTGTACGTGTGTGTGTGTACGTGTGTGTGTGTGTACGTGTGTGTGTACGTGTGTGTGTACGTGTGTGTGTGTACGTGTGTGTGTGTACGTGTGTGTGTGTACGTGTGTGTGTACGTGTGTGTGTGTACGTGTGTGTGTGTCTGTGTGTGTCTGTGAACGTGTGTGTATCTGTGTGTGTGTACGTGTGTGTGTACGTGTGTGTGTGTGTACGTGTGTGTGTGTGTACGTGTGTGTGTATGTGTGTGTGTACGTGTGTGTGTGTACGTGTGTGTGTGTACGTGTGTGTGTACGTGTGTGTCTGTGTGTGTCTGTGAACGTGTGTGTATCTGTGTGTGTGTGTACGTGTGTGTGTGTACGTGTGTGTGTGTACGTGTGTGTATGTGTGTGTCTGTGTGTGTACGTGTGTGTGTGTATGTATGTGTGTACAGGTGAATGTGTGTGTGTATGTGTGTGTGTACAGGTGAATGTGTGTGTGTATGTGTGTACAGGTGAATGTGTACGTGTGTGTGTATGTATGTGTCTACAGGTGAATGTGTGTATGTGTGTGTGTGTATGTGTGTGTGTGTACAGACCTCAGTCAGTGCTGGGTTCCACTCGGGGATCGCCGCTCATCGTGAACCACGCCGAGCACTGCCCGGGCCAACCCCGCACCTGTACACACACACACACACTCACCTGTACACACACACACTCACCTGTACACACACACACATTCACCTGTACACACACACACACTCACCTGTACACACACACACATACATTCACCTGTACACACACACACACTCACCTGTACACACACACACACTCACCTGTACACACACACACTCACTCAGCTGTACACACACACACTCACCTGTACACACACACACACACTCACCTGTACACACACACACTCACCTGTACACACACACACACCCTCACCTTTACACACACACACACACACTCACCTGTACACACACACTCACCTGTACACACACACACTCACCTGTACACACACACTCACCTGTACACACACAGACTCACCTGTACACACACACTCACCTGTACACACACACACACACACTCACCTGTACACACACACTCACTCACCTGTACACACACACTCACCTGTACACACACACACTCACCTGTACACACACACACTCACCTGTACACACACACTCACTCACCTGTACACACACACTCACCTGTACACACACACTCACTCACCTGTACACACACACACACACTCACCTGTACACACACACTCACTCACCTGTACACACACACTCACTCACCTGTACACACACAAACACACTCATCTGTACACACACACACACACTCACCTGTACACACACACACACTCACCTGTACACACACACACTCACTCACCTGTACACACACACTCACTCATCTGTACACGCACACACACCCTCACCTGTACACACACACACACACTCACCTGTACACACACACTCACCTGTACACACACACACTCACCTGTACACACACACTCACCTGTACACACACACACTCACCTGTACACACACACTCAACTGTACACACACACACACACACTCACCTGTACACACACACTCACTCACCTGTACACACACACTCACCTGTACACACACACTCACCTGTACACACACACACTCACCTGTACACACACACACTCACCTGTACACACACACTCACTCACCTGTACACACACACACTCACCTGTACACACACACTCACCTGTACACACACACACTCACCTGTACACACACACACACTCACCTGTACACACACACACACACTCACCTGTACACACACACACTCACTCACCTGTACACACACACTCACTCACCTGTACACACACACACACTCACCTGTACACACACACTCACTCACCTGTACACACACACTCACTCACCTGTACACACACACACACACTCACCTGTACACACACACACTCACCTGTACACACACACACACTCACTCACCTGTACACACACACTCACTCACCTGTACACACACACACATTCACCTGTACACACACACTCACCTGTACACACACACTCACTCACCTGTACACACACACACACTAACCTGTACACACACACACACCCTCACCTGTACACACACACACACACTCACCTGTACACACACACATTCACCTGTACACACACACACACATTCACCTGTACACACACACTCACCTGTACACACACACACACACTCACCTGTACACACACACATTCACCTGTACACACACACTCACTCACCTGTACACACACAAACACACTCACCTGTACACACACACATTCGCCTGTACACACACACACACACACTCACGTGTACACACACACACACCTGTACACACATACACACACTCACCTGTACACACACATACACACACCTGTACACACACTCACTCACCTCTACACACACACACTCACCTGTACACACGCACACACTCACTTGTACACATACACTCACCTGTACACACTCACCTGTACACACACACACACTCACCTGTACACAAACTCACACACTCACCTGTACACACATACACTCACCTACACACACACACCTGTACAACCATACACTCACCTACACACACACCTGTACACCGATACACTCACCTGCTACACACACACCTGTACAACCATACACTCACCTACACACACCTGTACAACCATACAACAACAACAACCGCCATTCGCCACTAAGTGGCGGTGACGTCACCACGACGCTTGTGCCAGGCTATGTGCACCCTGAGGCCACGTGAAGTGTCGAACGCCCGCTGGCAGGAGGTCACGGGGCAGACCCAGGTGCCACGGGTCGACTGACTGAGATGACTGGCTGATGCACCACCTGTGCCCCCTACTGTGCCAACCTGCTGTGCTTTAGCCACCCGGCGCTCTGCTCGTTGTTGTGAGCGTCGCTCCTCCGCCCTCCGTTGTTGTTGGAGGGCGACTGCCTCCAACTGCCCAGTAGCGTCCTTCACGAGCCTCCTCCACAGAGGCCGATCTTGACACCGCTGGTACCAGTCATCGGCAAGTCCACTCAGCTCCACGTCCTCCTGTACCACATCACTCCATCTCTTCTCTAGCCCGTGCCGCGCCCGTTTAGCCCCTCAACCCGGTCGAACAAAAGCTGCCCCGGCATGCGGTGGCTGGGCATGCGGGCCACATGACCCAGCCACCGCAGCCTTGCCTGCAGGAGGAGCCCACCGACGGGACCTTGCCCAGATCTTCCAAGGACCTGCGAGCCCCCCACACAATCCAGTCTGGTCAAACCCAGGATGGATCGCAGGCAGGCCAGCCCAAATGTTTCTAACCGGCGAAGATGCTCCACCAGGGGGGTCCATGTTTCGCAAGCGTAGAGAAGGGAGGGAATGGCCGTGGCCGAGACGACCTGAAGCTTAGTGCGGAGCGACAGACCAGGTAGCTTCCACACAGCGTTACGCAACCAATGAAAAGATATTGCCGCTCGACTGATTCGGAGTGAGACCTCTGCTGTTAAACTGGAGCCAGTCATAAGCACGATGCCCAGGTATGGGAAACTCTCCACCCTCTCCACAACTGCCCCATCACCGATTGGGAGTTGTGGAGGTGGAGTGTCCGATGGTACAAAATACCCAGGCAGGTGCTTAGTTTTGGTGGGGCTGATGGTAAGGCCCCACCTCTTAGTGGCACGCTCCAGTCTCAGCAGCAGCGTCTCCAACTCCTCCTCTGAATGAGCAGCTATTACCAAATCATCAGCATACATAACGTGGTTGGGCAATAGGGAGCCATCCCTTGACCGCACCCGGGCATCGATCAGCCTCCCATTATATCTCTGCCATATGGAGATTCCCCCGGTAGAGCTATTGAAGGCTTCACGAACTACGTGGTCAAATAGATGTTAAATAATGTGAGAGCCAGAGGACATCCCTGTCGCACCCCAAGGTGTACAGGGAATGGCTCTGACTCCCGGCCACGTAGTTTTACCCGGGCCCGCTCACCGTCATGAAGGTCCTTAATGATCTTGAGCAGAGGGTCAGGTACTCCAAAAGCACGAAGAACAACCCAGAGCCCAGGCCTACTGATGGTATCATAGGCCTTGACCAGGTCAATAAAGCAGAGATGTAGGTCTTGTTGGAATTCCCTACACCTCTGCTGTAGCAGACGGACAGAAAATATGCCATCTGTGCAGGACCGCCCTTTCCTGAACCCGTATTAGGGCTCCGCAAGCCTCTCCTCAGCGTGCCTGGCATGGCGATGTTGAATAATCCTTGCCAGGACCTTTCCGGCACACTGAGGAGTGAGATGCCCCTGTAGTTGTTACAGTCTGTGCGGTCGCCCTTCTTAAAAAGGGGGGCCACCAAGGCATACTTCCAATCCTGCGGAACCCGTCCAGTGGTCCAGAATGTTGTTATGATGTCATATAGGGCAGTCTGTGCACAAACGCCACCCTCCCTCAGCATTTCGCTTGGGAGATCATCTCTGCCCGCTGCCTTTCCTGGTCTCAGACTCCGGATCGCCTTCAGTACTTCCTCAACAGATGGCACCTCAGCCAGCCACTCACAGGGGGTGACTTCTTCCAATATTTGAGGCCCCGCATCCTCAGCAGGGTCATCCTCACTTTGTGCCACGATGTTTTCCTGGCTGAGGGATTTTCCCTCCCCCAGGACCTCATAGAAATGCTCAGCAAATCTGCAAACCTGTTCCTGGGGGTCGGAGATTGGGTCTCCGTTTTTTCCCCTAATGATGGTAATAGGTCTGGCGCTGCAGGTTACTTTTTTGATGGAGTTAAATAGAGACCCGTGATCACGGGCCACCGAGGCAGACTCCATCTCTTCAGCAACCCGCGACCACCACCCATCCCTGCAGCGCCTCACGGCTCTCCGAACCTCCGAGCGAAGGCTGCGGTAAGCCTCCTCATTCTCTGACGTGGGATTCTGTAGCCCATGACAGTGGGCCTGTCGCTTTTTCTCAACCATCCTGAACACCTCCTCTATCAGCCAGGGTCTCTGGGGAGGTCTGGACCCCGTAGCCAAAGCAGCCATTGCAGCTGCATGAGTCACAGTCCTAAACCTCGCCCATTTACCCTCGACATCAGGATGAGTCGGGGATGATGCCAATCCCAGCCGCAAGCGATGATGAAATTCTCGCTTGCAACTTTCATCAGATAACTGAGACCAGGCCACTTTATGTTGGAATGGGGTCCTGGGTGTACACCCACCACCGGAGTGGAAGAATGGCAGGCGCATCTTACAGATGACTAGTCGATGGTCAGAGGGCAGATCAGCTCCACGGTAGGTCCTGGTGTCAAGGACATGGGCTCGCATCCGCTGGTCCGTCACTATGTAGTCCAGCAGATGTTTTCGCCTGGACCCGGCATGCATCCATGACGTTGCGTGGACGCGCCGAGGCCGGAACAGCGTGTTGGTAATTACAAGCCCATGGGCTGCACAAAAATCTAGCAGCCTCCTACCGTTGTTATTGAGCTTATCTGGCCCATGCCGTCCAATCACTCCAGACCAGGTGCCAGTATCATGACCAACTCGGGCATTGAAGTCACCCAACATGATGACTCTATCCCGAGAGGCCACTTTAGCCAGCACCTGTGACAAGAGGTCATAGAAGGCATCTGACTCATCGGCTTTGCCTGCATCCCTCCACGGATGTTCATCTTCGGTGGGGGCATAAGTAACCACGACCACCATTCCTTGCCTCCGGTTGATGGGAAGGCGAGCCCAACGTAGCCTGGGGCTTACAGCTTCCCACACCTCACCGCCACGCTCCCACGCCCCCTTCATTCTTTTGTTCAAAAGAAGAGCCACGCCCTGTTGGTTGGCAGTCTGCTGCCCCGAGTAGAGGACTGTCCACCCCTCATGGTGGCAGGAGCCAGACCCGGTCCACCGGACCTCGTGAATGCCACATAGATCCAGGTGGCACCGGTCCAGCTCCCGACAGAGGAGTGGCAGCCTCTCCTCCGCAGTGAGCGTTCGAACATTCCACGTGGCCACCCGTAGTGGTTTTTCGTTGTTTCTGGAGGAGCCCCGAGGGTAGATATTCAATCTCCTGGCTCCGCCAATTGGGGTTTGGCCAGGAGACGTCATAGACGCCTGGCCCCCCGGGGCCTCCGGCACAAGGTTATTAATTATATACTTAATTCGCGGTTTAGTGGTAATTCATTAAAGGTGGAGGGGTTACCAGCCACCTGTACACACACTCACACACACTCACATGTACACACACTCACCTGTACACACACACTCACCTGTACACACACATACACTCACCTGTACACACGCACACACTCACCTGTACAGACACACACTCACCTGTACACACTCACCTGTACACACACTCACCTGTACAGACACACACACCTGTACACACACACACACACTCACCTGTACACACACACACTCACCTGTACACACACACACCTGTACACACACTCACACACACTCACCTGTACACACACATACACACACCTGTACACACACACACTCACCTGTACACACACTCACCTGTACACACACACACACCTGTACACACACTCACACACACTCACCTGTACACACACACATATACACTCACCTGTACACACATACCTCTACACACACTCACCTGTACACACACACTCACCTGTACACACACATACACACCTGTATACTCACTCACTCACCTGTACACACACACACACTCACCTGTACACACGCACACACTCACCTGTACACACCCACACTCACCTGTACACACACACACTCACCTGTACACACTCACCCGTACACACACATATTCACCTGTACACACACTCACACACTCACCTGTACACACACACACACACTCACCTGTACACACACTCACGTGTACACACACACTCACCTGTACACACACACACTCACCTGTACACACACACTCACCTGTACACACACACCTGTACAACCATACACTCACCTGCTACACACACACCTGTAGATCCATACACTCACCTACACACACACACGCACACACCTGTACAACCATACACTCACCTACACACACACACACCTGTACAACCATACACTCACCTGCTACACACACACACCTGTACAACCATACACTCACCTACACACACACACCTGTAGCACAATACACTCACCTGCTACACACACCTGCTACACACACACAGACCTGCTACACAGACCTATACAACCATACACTCACCTACACACACACACCTGTACAACCATACACTCACCTACACACACACACATGTACAACCATACACTCACCTGCTACATACACACACCTGTACAACCATACACTCACCTGCTACACACACACAGACCTGCTACACACACCTGTACAACCATACACTTACCTACACACACACACCTGTACAACCATACACTCACCTACACACACACCTGTACAACCATACACTCGCCTACACACACACACCTGTACAACCATATACTCACCTACACACACACCTGTACAACCATACACTCACCAACCCACACACACACACCTGTACAACCATACACTCACCTACCCACACACACACACCTGTACAACATTACACTCACCTACCCACACACACACACCTGTACAACCATACACTCACCTACACACACACACCTGTACAACCATACACTCACCTACACACACACCTGTACAACCATACACTCACCTACACACACACACCTGTACAACCATACACTCACCTACCCACACACACACACACCTGTACAACCATACACTCACCTACAAACACACACGCACCTGTACAACCATACACTCACGTACAAACACACACACACACACACACCTGTAGCACCATACACTCACCTGCTACACACACCTGCTACACACACACCTGCCACACACACCTGCTATACACACACCTGCTACACACACCTGCTACACACACCTGCTACACACATACACTCACCTGCTACACTCACCTGTATAACCGTACGCTCGCCTGGACTGCTATGGTCAGGCGTGGACTCTAACCCTACTCACAAATGCGGGGACACTTACCCACGTGAACACGCACACACACACCTACACACATACACCTACAAACACATACACCTACACACACATACACATACACACACACACCTACACACACATACCTACACACACACACTTACACACACATACACCTACACACACACACCTACACACACACACCTACACACACACACCTACACACACATACACCTACACACACACCTACACACACATACACCTACACACACATACACCTACACACACACACCTACATACACACCTATACACCTACACACACACACCTACACATACACCTACACACACATACACCTACACACACACCTAGACACACACACCTACACACACCTACACACACACACCTACACACACACACCTACACACACCTACCTTACACACACACATACACACACACACACTTACACACACCTACACACACACTCCTACACACACCTACACACACACCTACACACACCTACACACACACACCTACACACACACACCTACACACACACACCTACACACACATACACCTACACACCTACACACACCTACACCTACACACACACCTACACACACCTAAACACCTACACACACACACCTACACACCTACACACACACACCTACACACACACACCTACACACACACACCTACACACACATACACCTACACACACCTACACACACCTACACCTACACACACACACACCTACACACACCTACACCTACACACACACACCTACACACCTACACACACACACCTGCACACACACACCTACACACACACCTACACACACCTACACACACACACCTACACACACACACCTACACACACCTACAACTACACACACACCTACACACACACACACCTACACACCTACACACACCTACACACACACCTACACACACACCTACACACACCTACACACACACACCTACACACACACACCTACACACACCTACACACACACCTACACACACACCTACACACACACCTACACACACCTACACACACACACACCTACACACACACACCTACACACACCTACACCTACACACACCTACACACACACCTATACACACACACACCTACACACACACACCTACACACACCTACACACACACACATCTACACACACCTACACACACACACACCTACACACACACACCTACACACACCTACACACACACACCTACACACACCTACACACACCTACACCTACACACCATACACACACCTACACACACACCTACACACACACCTACACACACCTACACACACACACCTACACACACCTACACACACATACACACACCTACACACACACATACACACACCTACACACACACCTACACACACACCTACACACCTACAAACACCTACACACACACACACCTACACACACCTACACACCTACACCTACACACACACCTACACACACACCTACACACACCTACACACACACACCTACACACACACCTACGCACACACACCTACACACACACCTACACACAACTACACACACCTACACACACACACACCTACACACACACACCTACACACACACCTACACACACACACCTACACACACACCTACACACACACACCTACACACACACCTACACACACCTACACACACACCTACACACACACCTACACACACCTACACACACACACCTACACACACACACCTACACACACACCTACACACACCTACACACACACACCTACACACACACCTACACACACCTACACACACACCTACACACACCTACACACACCTACACACACACACCTACACACACACCTACACACACCTACACACACCTACATACACCTACACACACACACCTACACACACACCTACACACACCTACACACACACACCTACACACACACACCTACACACACCTACACACACCTACACACACACACCTACACACACACACTCCTACACACACCTACACACACACCTACACACACCTACACACACACACCTACACCTACACACCTGTACGTCGCGCCTGCTACGTGTGTGACGCAGTTGAGTCGCCATATCGCGACCCCCACCCACCCACCCGCCCTCCCGCCCTCCCGGTGCCAGCGGCTGTGAGAGGCGACGGGGCGTTGCGTGAGATAAACGGCAATTAGTGAGCAGTAAGCGTTCATCAGCATGATCTCACACACACACTTACACACACACTCACTCACACTCGCTCACTCACACACTCACACACACACTCACTCACACACTTACACACTTACACGCTCACACACTCTCTCACTCGCTCACTCACTCACACGCTCACTCACACACTCACTCACACACACACTCACACACACACTCACTTACACACACACTCACTTACACACTCACACACTCGCTCACTCACTCACACACACTTACACGCTCACACACTCTCTCACTCACACACTTACACACTCACTCACTCGCTCACACACTCACACACACACTTACACACTCACTCACACACTTACACGCTCACACACTCACTCACACACTCACTCGCTCACTCACACACTCACTCACACACTCACACACACACTCACACGCTCACTCACTCACACACTTACACACTCACACACTTACACACTCTCTCACTCACACACTCTCTCACTCACACACTCATACACTCACTCACTCGCTCACTCATCCACTCGCTCATTCACACACACACTCACTCACACACTTACACACTCACACGCTCACACACTCTCTCACTCACACACTTACACGCTCACACACTCACTCAACAACAACCGCTATTCGCCACTAAGTGGCGGTGACGTCACCACGACGCTTGTGCCAGGCTATGTGCACCTTGAGGCCACGTGAAGTGTCGAACGCCCGCTGGCAGGAGGTCACGGGGCAGACCCAGGTGCCACGGGTCGACTGACTAAGATGACTGGCTGATGCACCACCTGTGCCCCCTACTGTGCCAACCTGCTGTGCTTTAGCCACCCGGCGCTCTGCTCGTTGTTGTGAGCGTCGCTCCTCCGCCCTCCGTTGTTGTTGGAGGGCGACTGCCTCCAACTGCCCATTAGCGTCCTTCACGAGCCTCCTCCACAGAGGCCGATCTTGACACCGCTGGTACCAGTCATCGGCAAGTCCACTCAGCTCCACGTCCTCCTGTACCACATCACTCCATCTCTTCTCTAGCCCGTGCCGCGCCCGTTTAGCCCCCTCGATCCGGCCGAACAAAAGCTGTTTCGGCATGCGGTGGCTGGGCATGCGGGCTACATGACCCAGCCATCGCAGCCTTGCCCTGCCGGAGGAGCTCACCGATGGGACCTTGCCCAGATCTTTCAAGGATTTGTGAGCTCCTCACACAATCCAGTCTGGTTAAACCCAAGATGGATCGTAGGCAGGCCAGCCTAAATGTTTCTAACCGGCGAAGATGTTCCATTAGGGGGTTCTACGTTTCGCAAGCGTAGAGAAGGGAGGGAAGGACCGTGGCCGAGAAGATCTGAAGCTTAGTGCGGAGCGACAGACCAGGTAGCTTCCACACAGCGTTACGCAACCGATGAAAAGATATTGCCGCTCGACTGATTCGGAGTGAGACCTTTGCTGTTAAACTGGAGCCAGTCATAAGCACACTGCCCAGGTATGGGAAACTCTCCACTCTCTCCACAACTGCCCCATCACCGATCGGGAGTTGTGGGGGTGGAGTGTCCGATGTTACAAAATACCCAGGCAGGTGCTTAGTTTTGGTGGGGCTGATGGTAAGGCCCCACCTCTTAGTGGCACGCTCCAGTCTCAGCAGCAGCGTCTCCAACTCCTCCTCTGAGTGAGCAGCTATTACCAAATCATCAGCATACATAACGTGGTTGAGCAATAGGGAGCCATCCCTTGACCGCACCCAGGCATCGATCACACACTCACTCACACACACGCCCACTCACTCACCCACTCGCTCACTCACTCACACACACTCACACACTTACACGCTCACACACTCACCCGCTCGCACACTCACTCACACACTCACTCACACACTCACTCACTCACACACTCACTCACCCACTCGCTCACTCACTCACACACACTCACACACACACTCACCCACACACACAAACACACACACTCACTCACACACTCACACACTCGCACACTCACTCACTCACCCACTCACCCACACACTCACTCACACACTCACACGCCCACTCACTCACCCACTCAACAACAACAACAACCGCCATTCGCCACTAAGTGGCGGTGACGTCACCACGACGCTTGTGCCAGGCTATGTGCACCCTGAGGCCACGTGAAGTGTCGAACGCCCGCTGGCAGGAGGTCACAGGGCAGACCCAGGTGCCACGGGTCGACTGACTGAGACGACTGGCTGGTGCACCACCTGTGCCCCCTACTGTGCCAACCTGCTGTGCTTTAGCCACCCGGCGCTCCGCTCGTTGTTGTGAGCGTCGCTCCTCCGCCCTCCGTTGTTGTTGGAGGGCGACTGCCTCCAACTGCCCAGTAGCGTCCTTCACGAGCCTCCTTCACAGAGGCCGATCTTGACACCGCTGGTACCAGTCATCGGCAAGTCCACTCAGCTCCACGTTCTCCTGTACCACATCACTCCATCTCTTCTCTAGCCCGTGCCGCGCCCGTTTAGCCCCCTCGATCCGACCGAACAAAAGCTGTTTCGGCATGCGGTGATTGGGCATGCGGGCTACATGACCCAGCCATCGCAGCCTTGCCCGCCGGAGGAGCTCACCGATGGGTCCTTGCCCAGATCTTTCAAGGATTTGTGAGCTCCTCACACAATCCAGTCTGGTTAAACCCAGGATGGATCGTAGGCAGGCTAGCCTAAATATTTCTAACCGGCGAAGATGTTCCATTAGGGGGGTCCACGTTTCGCAAGCGTAAAGAAGGGAGGGAATGACCGTGGCCGAGAAGACCTGAAGCTTCGTGCACACTCACACACACACTCACTCACACACTCACACACACTCACTCACACACTCACTCACT